CATATAGAAAATTGACATTGAGTATCAGTACATCTTTCAAAATGTTAATGTCAATCAGGGGCCTAGTATTTAAAACCCACTTTTGAGAATAATTGCTGTATGGAAATGAGAATAGCTATATAGCTGTCCACGAAATGCTATTCGAATGTTCAAATCATAAATTTCATGCCTTTGTCTTATCTTGCTGTCAACATTTTAATCTCAATCAGACACTCATTGATTATTTGGTGAAAAAATTAACATGAATAAGTCGAAATTATATATAGAAGCTATGCTATATCTATATCTGAACCAATTTCAAGGAAACTTATCAGAGATTAATTTTCATTAACTTCAGTACGTTGTGTCAATCGGCCTAGCTATGGATCTTGTGTGCACCATTTACCTAAAATTGTAAACACGAAACTACACATGGGAGCTATATCTTCACGAAATTTTGCAACCGTTTTTCACAAAACTTAGCACACGTTTTTCTGGAAAAATTTAATATGCCAAAATTCGTGACCAAAAAAGATTTTCTGGGACTCCAGAGGTGCACCATTATTACCTAAAATCGCGAAAATATATATAAAGGAGCTATATCAAAGAATCTGCACCAGTTTTTAAAGATCTGCAAATGTGTAGCACACATCATTCTCGACTTAATTCCGTGAAAAATGCCAAAATTTGTATTCAAATGAAAGTTTTTACTTTTGCACCATTTACATAAAATCGGAGAAGTACTATATATAGGAGTATATCCTTTAAATTGAACCGATTTTATTGAAACGTTTGCACACATCATTCTACCCTTAATTAAGTAAATATGCAAAAATTTGTGCAAATCAAAAGATTTTAGGGACTTTAGTGCACCATTACCAAAATAGAGGGCGAAAGTATATATGGGAGCTATATCGCTTTGAAATTTTCACGAAACTTGGCACACATCAGGTTATAAGATGAATTCAGAATACTTAATTTTTTTCGAGTAAATGCCAATAATAAGCCGAACATCACAACGCAACCCACGGGGAAGGGAATCTGGACAATTAATTAGGACGGCAGTACTGAATATGAATAGTAATATTCGGAACATATGTCAGTGTAAGGAAGAGGTGCTGTTGACCTCAAGAAATATTGCACAGGCTCGGAATAAACATCCGCAGAAAGTTAGAGTTCCGTGGTAGTTGTGTAGGGTATCGTATGGTCGGCCCCGTCCGACTATACTGCTCCGCTCACTGGTTTTTGTTTATTTATTCTTCAAACAATAGATTTGACAGTCAATGAAGACTACGAATTCGCCTCCCTGTTAACCTTATGAATCAACCTTGACCTCATTCGTTGCTTTATTTTTTTTCAGTGAGCTCTTCAGCTTCCAACACAAAGTGAAGGAAATATTTGTCATACCGTTAGCAAAATTTATAATAAATAAAATTATATGCCGATCTAGCAGTGACTGTCTTTCTGTCCGAACATAGATAGAGAATTTTTCACATTCACATATTGCTCCTGGCATGTTTGTTATTGAGAATGGGATATGTCGGTCCACTTTTTAGGGTAGCCACCATTAAACAATAAACTCAAATATTTGGTATTTAAGGATTTGTGGCACCGTTTTCAGCCGAATTGGCTGAAATTTTATATTTTGCTTGTTTCTCATTGTTTATCAAATATTTCTACAAAAAATTATCAATATTGGTAAATTTTTTATGATAGCCACCAAAAAATCACGTTATTTTCGTGATTTTAGGCACGTTCTCCAACCAAATTGGCTCCAATCTGGTATTTTGGATTTTCGTTGAGTAGAAATGTCCCTACCAAAAATTAACAATATTGTGCCACTTTCTAGCCCCCATTGTCAATCTGATGTTTTGAGTTCCCATTTCTTAGTATATCTTGCTACCGAAAATAATCAATATTGGTCCTCTTTTTTAGGTTGACCCCCACATAACAATATCCCACAGATTTAAGTTTCCAACCGAATTAGTTGCAATGTGACATTTTAATTCCCGTTGGATCGAAAATTAATATTGACCCATGTTTCCTCATATACCTCATATAATGGTGCCACTCACCGAATTAACTATATATATATATTATTACCGGTCCACGGTATTTTTGGAGTTTTTACAATTTTCCCATTTCGAGATTTGGAGCCTGATATACATACTTGCAGAAAATTGTTAATTTAGGCCAAAGATTGTACATAGGCCCCAAGGATTGTACATAGGCGCCCGATTGTCAGTATTTTTGCAGACATTTTTAAATATAGGTCAATGTTTTGATATAGCCCAATATTTAAGGAATTCTGAATGCACACCACTATATGGAGGGAATAAAATTTCGGGTCCGACGGGCAGGATACTAGTCAGGGTGCCTAGTCATTGTCCAAAATGTTTGATTCGCTGTGCTGTGTGGGTGTGTTGTGTGTTTCGACCTTTGGGAAGAAGTGATTGTTTGTCGGTGGTGTCTGTTGTTGGTATCAAAACGGCTTTACGGATGTGTTTGTCTACGACCCTTGACTGTTGGGTTTTTAGGAGTTTGGTCAGGGCACTCTTCATAGTGTTTGATCCGACGGGCCAGATAACCAGTGATTATTGTCACTGTGATTCTGGTTTTATTGTGTGTTTGGTTGTGACATTGGATTATTCTAGTCCCAGACCTTGGGTCGAAACTCGTAGGAACACCATTCCCTGTGTGGAAATTGGCACCAAAAGGTGCTGGGTTTTGCATCTGGTTTTCATGCTCAAATCGCGGGTAATGTTCCGGCTCATTGTGGAGTTGCATTTATAGGAGTTTAAGATGGTCTCCGCACTTCATCCAAGAAGTTGAACACGTCCAAGTACGTGTGAACGATTGTGGTCGGATATGGAGAATATTTTAAGAAATCTACATTCGAAGTTGCAAATGTGTAATTTTTCTTTACAGAATGGCAATGCTACATCTAGGCATTGCCATTCTGTCGACATGGTCGGTCCTATCCATTTTGACTTTCTAACTACATTTTGTATTTAAGGTCCTCCCTAATCTGTAAATCATCAAGTAGCTAATTTTTAGTGTCGACCCAGTTTGGAAAATAGAGAGAAGTCCTAGGCTTTACTGGTGTCTTCGGATGTCCGAGATACAAAATATACACGCCATTTAGTTTTTTAATAAATACTTTCAGATTATTCAATATTTTAAAATTTTGCCATTTTAAAAGGACCCCCCATTTCCGAGGGGGGGGGGGTCCCCATTGAAGAACTCTTGAAGATATAGCCCATTTATTGCGTCAGCATCAAGTGACGGCTAAGGGGTTTCTCAAACTTTAAACGCGTTTTTCTCTTTTGCGAATGGCGGGCAAGATAACTCAAAAACTAATAACCCAATCGATTCCAACTTTTTACACGTTTCTCTGTGAGTGTATAGCTATCGTATGAACAAGGATAAAGCCAATCGGTGAAGATCTTCCTTATTTTTTAACTTGGGTTTTGGTCAAAAATCGGCGATTTTCCAAAAATATTTTTCCAAAGGTCCGCCATTTTGTTAATTTTAGTGCGAAGTCAATAATCCTAGTTCATACGAGAGCCAGACATGTACTCTTTCTAACACCGTTGGAATTTTCGGATTCCGATGTTCCATTGAGGAGTTATCATGCCCGCCATCAAAAATAAGGTATTGATTTACCAGCCCATTGAAAATCTTGAAAAATTAAAATCGAGAATATGTGGGGTTTCCTTAAACATTCAGGGTTAGAATATAAATTTTGAAAATTATATCCCAATATTTGGGTTCTAGCAGACTATGGGTATTTTAACGTATTTTAACATGATATGTTGACGCATAACAGTGGAGTTATGACACATGGTTACATGTTCCGCCACAACATTTTCTGTAAATCATCAAGTAGCTAATTTTTCAAACAGAGCATTTATTTTTTCTTCCTGACGTTGTGGATGTAACAAAAAAACGTTTTTTGAGGGAAATACATGACACCCTTGGTCAATATCCCAAGCAAAAAATTTTACACGCCATTTAGTTTTTTAATAATTAATTTTTGATTTTTCAATATTTTAAAATTTTGTCAATTTAAACATTCAGGGATAGAATATAAATTATGAAAAGTATATCCCAATATTTGGGTTCTAGCAGACTATGGGTATTTTAACGATTCTAAAAATATTTTTTTCAGTTTAATAGCTTTTAAAAATACAAATAAAGAATTTCGGTCTTTCGCCGAACCGTCCATATTTGTTGTTATATATTTTGATTCTATGTGAGTAAAATGCATCTTAGCAAATAACTGCCTTTGTCATTCCCATTAACATAACAGGGCCCCATATTTTGGTATATCTAAAAACGGGAAATGTTTAAGATTCCTCCTAAGTAAGAATGTCCTGCATGACAAAGCAAAGCAGCTATATTTTTTATATCTATGAATAATTTTAACTTTACACTAAAATTTACACTTATTTTATAAAAATTACATATATGACTCCCCCATTTACAAGATAAGAACATAACCATAAAGATAAATATGTACTTAACTCATGCTTTTTAACAAATTATTTCTTTAAAATGAATTCTTTATTCACAGACATTTTAACCGCTTCCATTTACGTTTTCTTGCCTTTTTTCTTTACAGATTTCACACTAATAACAGCAACAACGATAAGACTTACAAATGTTTACTAATTTAAAGAAATATTTTTGATGTGTGGTTAATTAAGGTCCTGGCCACACATATACGTACAAACAGCAACACCAGCCCACACACCAACACATTCTTCAGTTGACCACATCAAAACTTTTGAGAAAGAAATCAACTGTTGAGGAAACAGAATAAGAAGGAAGGGGGGAAAAGCATACACCACTTACCTAACCACTTGCATTGCATACACACACACACATGCACTGTGAACACTTTTACTTATCACTTTGATAAGACCACAGTTGTAAACCGTATAGTAGGTATAGGTGTACTCAGCAGAGTGAATTCACTCACTCACCAAGAAACACACACACACTCACACAGAAACAAAATGTGTTTTCAACAGCATACCGAAGAGTGGCTGCCATCAACAAAGTCCTCATCGCCATCACCATCATCATTATTAACAGCAACACCAACTCAGAGCAACTTAAAAACTATTTCTCATTCATCATTACCCACAACAACAAGAACACAAGAAGCAGCACCAGCAATAACAACAACAGCAGCTACAAAAGCAAATGCAACTGAAACAATTTTAGCCACATTAAAGAGAGTGCCAGACTTTGTGAGTTGTAGCCACGCTACAACCACTTCCACATCGTCAACAACAAGAAGAAGATGGCAACACCAACAGAATCACCAACAAGAACGAGTGGGGAAGCAGCAACACATTAAGGCAATAATGCCACCACCCACACGCAATACTCCCACACGCATTCTCCCGCATCACCCACTCTTGATACTCTTAGCCATCATCTGCCTTACAGTACAAATCTCCAGTGCGTATCTGATAATTGTCCATGAGGATGCAGCACCTGGTACGGTGATATTCAATGCATCGGTATATAAATTGGGCTCGGAGCGCCATTACAAAATTAATGCCCACAAATCGGCCCATTTTGTACATCATCTAGTCTCGGTCAATCACAAAGACGGTCAGATACAATTGAAGAAATCACTGAAATGTGATGGAATCTATTATCCGAATCTGTTCACATTCTATGTGGACTCAACGTCGAATCGTTTGCGTAGCATCGACTATTACAGTCTGCCCATAAGGATATTTGTGTCGGGGCATACATGTAACGAGGATAGGCGGGTGGAGGAGGAGATTCATGGTCGGCATTATGAGGAGGAGGATACGGGCTATTCAAAGCGACGACGTCGAAGAAGATTTATCGAAGAATTGGATCCTTTGGAGGAATACGAACGTAGCTATGGCGAATTTCGTGATACCAATAAACAAAGCAATACGTTAGGAGCGTTAGGAGCCACATATAACCACAATCACTCGCTTAGTGAATTTCGTGATGGTGATTTAATATTCGGCAATTCATTTGACAATGAAATGCGTCATCGCATATTGAGTCGTAAACGAAGATCAATGTTGACACTCGAAACATCCTCGGCCTCCATTGCTGCATCCCAATCGGCCAGCAATTTACATCGTCGCATATCAGAAGCCAAACAATGGATATCCGAAACTTACGCCTCCTATGCCATACATACCACCGATAAATGGAATCAAATCTGCCTGCGGAAATCTCAATTCATTAACAATCTGAATGCCTTTCTGCCCCGCTCGATATGTCAACACTGCAAGGTGAACTTCCTCGATGTAAACGATGAACGTTTTGTTATTGAACATCAAAATCGCGACTTGGTGGCAAGCCGTGATGTCTGCATTCACGAATCGATGTGGAAAGTTAGCATAACCTTTAACATTCGCTGTGATCGTAGCGACATTGTCGATTCCGACCATCGTCTGAAAATTGTCTACCATTATCAGGAATTTAATGACACAGATATTGCAAAAAGGGTACGTCGAGAGCTACGCAATCAATCGCCATATTTTGAACAGGCCCTCTACGTGGCCTCGGTGTTGGAAGAACAGCCGGCAGGCTCAAGTGTGACCACCGTTCGTGCCCGTGATCCTGAAGATTCTCCGGTTGTTTACTCCATGGTTTCTCTGTTGGATTCACGTTCTCAGTCTTTGTTTAAGGTGGATTCACGTACCGGTGTAGTTACCACTTCGGCAAGTTTGGATCGTGAATTAATGGATGTCCATTATTTTCGTGTGGTAGCCACCGATGATAGTTTTCCTCCCAGATCGGGAACGACGACGTTGCAGGTTAATGTTTTAGATTGTAATGATCATAGCCCTACCTTTGAGGCGGAACAATTTGAGGCATCGATACGTGAAGGTGCCACAGTGGGATCCACAGTTATCACTTTGAGGGCAACGGATCAGGATATTGGAAAAAATGCTGAAATTGATTATGGCATTGAAAGTATAACGGGTAAGTGGAATTGATTTATTTTTCAATATATTTAAATTTCAATATATTTCGGAGGAAAAGGTCGAAAGAAAATTTTAACAATTATAAAATCAATCAGATATCTAGTTCTGCTTGAACGATTCACCATAATGAGTCGGTTTAAAAAATTTTAACAATATCAAATAATCATTTATCTGGTTCTGTCTTTCAAAAACGTCTTTATGCCGATCGCTTTGACAATCTAAATTTTAAGCTATTGTCAACTTGTGCAGGATCAAACGAGGACAAACCTAGGACCTCGATTTTTATATATTGCATCTATTAACAAAATTTCCTTCTCCATTCTTCTTTCATTCTCTCCACATTTTTCTTCTCTTTTTTTTAAAAAAAATTTTCTTTAACACCCCTCTTTACCCCCTCCCATTTATGTTGTTTTTTTTTCTTTTCAGACGGTACTGGAACCCTGCAAGATCAAGAAATCCCTATATTCCGCATCGATGCTCGAACTGGTGTAATTGCCACGCGCACTTCGCTGGATCGCGAAACATCGGATAGTTATAATATTATTGTGACCGCTTCGGATATGGCTTCGGCACAAAGTGAACGTAAAACAGCCACAGCCAGTGTTTTAGTAAAAATCCTGGATGACAATGATAATTATCCGCAATTTAGTGAACGCACCTATACAGTCCAAGTACCCGAAGATCAATGGGGTGATGATAATGTCGTCGCGCATATACGTGCCACCGATGCTGATCAGGGTAATAATGCGGCGATACGTTATGCCATAATAGGTGGTAATACCCAATCTCAATTTTCCATCGATTCGATGAGTGGAGATGTTAGTTTGGTCAAGCCCCTGGATTATGAAAGCGTTCGCAGTTATCGTTTGGTAATACGGGCTCAAGATGGTGGCAGTCCTTCGAGAAGTAATACCACCCAGCTGCTGGTTAATGTCATCGATACGAATGATAATGCCCCGCGTTTTTATACATCACAATTTCAAGAATCGGTACTGGAAAATGTCCCGGTGGGTTATAATATTATCCGGGTGCAGGCCTATGACAGTGATGAAGGTTCAAATGCTGAAATAACTTATAGCATATCGGAACGTGATGATAATTTTCCCTTGGCTGTGGATCCACGTTCGGGTTGGGTTCATACCATAAAACAGCTGGATCGTGAGGAGCAGAATCGTTTTGCATTTCAAGTTATCGCCAAAGATGGTGGGGTGCCACCTAAATCGGCTAGCTCTACAGTGGTGATAACTGTGCAGGATGTGAATGACAATGACCCGGTTTTCAATCCTAAATACTATGAAGCAAATGTGGGTGAGGATCAGCCACCAGGAACACCAGTGTGTACGGTGACAGCCACTGACCCAGATGAGGACAGTCGTTTGCATTATGAAATTACATCGGGTAATACGAGAGGTCGATTTGCCATAACTTCGCAGAATGGTCGAGGATTGATTACGATTGCCCAGTCTTTGGACTATAAGCAAGAAAAGAGATTTTTGCTGACCATAACTGCCACCGATTCGGGAGGAAGGGCAGATACAGCCACGGTCAATATAAATATTACGGATGCCAATAACTATGCACCGATTTTCGAAAATGCTCCCTATAGTGCTTCGGTATTTGAAGATGCTCCAATTGGCACAACGGTTTTGGTTGTCTCCGCCACCGATAGCGATGTGGGTATTAATGCCCAAATAACATATTCGTTGAATGAGGAAAGCATAAATGGTCTAGGGAGTCCAGATCCTTTCTCCATAAATCCGCAAACTGGAGCAATTGTCACAAATGCTTTGCTGGATAGGGAAACGACAAGTGGATATTTACTGACCGTCACAGCCAAGGATGGTGGTAATCCTTCGTTGAGTGATACCACAGATGTGGAGATAAGTGTTACCGATGTCAATGATAATCCGCCACATTTTAAGAATCCTCTCTATCAAGCCTCAATTTTGGAAGATGCCTTGGTGGGTACCTCAGTATTGCAAATTGCTGCAACTGATCCCGATATTGGTTTGAATGGACGCATTAAATATTTACTCAGCGATCGTGATGTGGAAGATGGTTCATTTGTTGTCGATCCCACTTCGGGTACCATACGTACGAATAAAAATTTAGATCGTGAAAGTGTGGCCATATATCATCTGACAGCCATTGCTGTCGACAAAGGATCACCGCCCATGTCCAGCACTGTGGAGGTACAAATTCGGCTGGAAGATGTTAATGATTCTCCACCGACATTCCCCTCGGATAAAATTACGTTATATGTACCCGAAAATTCTCCTGTAGGCTCAGTGGTTGGTGAAATCCATGCCCATGATCCGGATGAGGGAGTGAATGCTGTGGTCCATTATAGCATAATTGGTGGTGATGATTCAAATTCATTTTCCTTGGTTACCCGCCCGGGTTCGGAAAGGGCCCAATTGCTGACAATGACGGAACTGGATTATGAATCGAATCGCAAGAGATTTGAATTGGTGATACGTGCTGCCTCCCCACCATTGAGGAATGATGCCCATGTTGAAATTTTAGTTACAGATGTAAACGATAATGCCCCCGTGTTGAGAGACTTCCAAGTGATTTTCAATAACTTCCGTGACCATTTCCCCAGTGGTGATATTGGACGCATTCCCGCCTTTGATGCCGATGTTAGTGATAAGCTAACCTATCGCATACTGTCGGGAAATAATGCAAATTTAATACGATTGAATCAAACAACAGGAGGCTTGAGTCTGAGTCCTCAGCTAAATACCAATGTACCGAAATTTGCCACCATGGAGGTATCGGTCACCGATGGCATCAATGAGGCCAAGGCCATTATGCAATTGGCCGTAAGGTTGATTACAGAAGATATGCTTTTCAATTCGGTAACAGTGCGCTTGAATGAAATGACTGAGGAGGCCTTCCTCTCACCCCTGCTGAATTTCTTTTTGGATGGCCTGGCAGCCATAATACCCTGCCCCAAGGAGAATATTTTCATCTTCTCTATACAAGATGACACGGATGTCACTTCGCGTATTTTAAATGTTAGCTTTTCGGCGAAACGTCCTGATGTATCTCACGAGGAGTTCTATACACCACAATATCTGCAGGAGAGGGTGTATTTGAATCGTGCCATATTGGCAAGATTGGCCACAGTGGAGGTGTTGCCATTCGATGATAACCTCTGTGTGCGGGAACCCTGCTTGAATTTTGAAGAATGTTTGACGGTATTGAAATTCGGCAATGCCTCAGATTTTATACACAGCGACACGGTACTGTTCCGCCCAATTTATCCTGTCAACACCTTTGCCTGTTCCTGCCCTGAAGGTTTCACCGGCAGCAAGGAACATTATCTCTGCGATACCGAAGTAGATCTTTGCTATTCCGATCCCTGTCAAAATGGTGGTTCCTGTATGCGACGAGAGGGTGGCTATACGTGTGTTTGTCCACCCAGCCATACGGGCGTGAATTGTGAAACTGATATTAAAAAATTGAAACCCTGCATGTCGGACATATGTGAGGGTGGTCTATCGTGTATGAATAACTATATGACCAGCCAACCACCCCCATACACGGCCACATGTGAATTACGTTCACGCTCATTCTCACGCAACTCCTTCCTCACCTTTGAGAGTATGAAACAGAGACATCGCTTCAATATTAAATTACGCTTCGCCACGGTCCATGAGAATGGTCTACTGCTCTACAATGGGCGTTATAATGAACTGCATGATTTTGTGGCCTTGGAAATTGTCCAGGGCCATGTCACGTTCACCTTCTCCCTTGGGGATCGCAGCGAAAAAGTGGCAGTATTCCAACAAAGTAAAGTATCCGATGGCCAGTGGCATGAGGTGGAGGTGAATTATTTGAATCGCACCGTGACTCTTATTGTGGATGCCTGTGATACGGCCGTGGCCTTGGCTGGTAATTTCGGTGACAAATGGAATTGTGCCAATCAAACCACTTTGAAGCTGGACAAGAGATGTTCTCTGCTCACAGAGACATGTCATAGATTTTTGGATCTCACAGGACCCCTGCAAATTGGTGGTTTGCCTCGCATTCCCGCCCACTTCCCCATCGATAATCAAGATTATGTTGGCTGTATTTCCGATTTGAGAATCGATGAACGTTATATTGATCTGAATTCCTATGTAGCAGATAATGGCACAATTTCTGGATGTCCTCAACGCAATCCGCTATGTTCTTCAGAACCCTGCTTCAATGGTGGTGCTTGCCATGAAGGTTGGAATACCTATACCTGTGAATGTCCGGAGGGTTATGCTGGTAATAATTGTCAGGAGACAATACCAGCCCCTTGGCGTTTCTCTGGAGATGGTAGCTTGAGTTTCAATCCTCTTCTGAGACCAATACAAATGCCTTGGGTAACATCGCTGGCCATAAGGACCCGACAACGTAATGCCTTCCTTCTGCAAATACAAATTGGACAGAATAGTTCCGCGGTGATATGTCTCAAGGATGGCATCCTTTATTATATTTTTGATAATGAACCGATGTTTTTGGCTGGCGCGTTTTTGGCGGATGGAGAATGGCATCGTGTGGAAATAAAATGGATGGGCTCAGAAATTTCATTCTCTGTAGATTTTGGTCAGCGCACAGGAGCGGTGCCGATATCACAAAAAATCCAGGGTCTCTATGTGGGAAAAATTGTCATCGGCAGTCCGGATAGTTCTATTGGTCATGTAGATGATTTGTTATCGTATGAAGGTTGTATCCAGGAAGTAAGGATTGGAGCCTCACAGGCCGTATTGTCCAGGCCCACCATACGTGAAAATGTTGAAGATGGTTGTCTCTCAAAGGCCGAGTGCCCCGTCACCTGTCCACCACATTCTAGTTGTACCACTTCCTGGGATCATGCGGAGTGTGAGTGTCTCCCAGGTTACGTGGGACCTGATTGCCTACCCATTTGTACCGTGAAGCCCTGTGCAGCGGGAGTTTGTCGAGCAAACATCAGCGAACCTAAAGGATATCACTGCGAATGTAACTCAACCTATCAACATGGAGAGTATTGTGAAAAGACTGTGCAACAACCCTGCCCCGGCGGTTGGTGGGGTGAAAAGGTGTGTGGACCCTGCAAATGTAATGTCAAGCAAGGTTATCATCCCGATTGCCACAAGACCACCGGACAATGTCATTGTAAAACAAATCATTATCAGCCACCGAATGAGACAGCCTGTATACCATGTGATTGCTACTCCATTGGATCTTTTAGTAGTGCCTGTAATCCGTTGACGGGTCAGTGTGAATGCAGAGAGGGTGTAATTGGTCGTCGTTGTGATTCGTGTTCTAACCCTTATGCCGAAGTGACCTTAAATGGTTGTGAAGTGGTGTACGATGCTTGCCCTAGATCTTTTGCTGCAGGAGTGTGGTGGCCTAGAACTCCCTTGGGTAGTACCACTGTGGAAAATTGCCCTAGCCCCTCTAAGGGAAAGGGTCAGAGGACCTGTGATGGCTTGTCTGGAGGTTGGAATACACCCGATATGTTTAATTGCACTTCGGAACCTTTTGTGGAGCTGAGGAAACAACTTTCTCAGTTGGAAAAATTGGAATTGGAGTTAAATTCCTTTGTGGCCATAAAGACTGCAGAAAATCTACAAAAAGCCTGTACCACTGTAGATCGCAGTTCCAAGGTCCATAAGAAACCCCTGACCAAAGATCATAGGCGTTATAAAATGGAATCATCCTTCCTGCTAAATGAAAACAACAATGTTTGGTCCCACGAATTGGAAATGGAATATCTTTCGGATGAAATGAAATTCTCCCATGATCGCCTCTACGGAGCAGATCTCCTGGTCACCGAGGGATTACTGCAGGAACTAATTAATTATGAACTAATGCAGAATGGTTTAAATTTGACGCATTCTCAGGATAAATATTTCATCAAAAATCTTGTTGAGGCTGCCAGTGTTATTTTGGATCGTAAATATTCTTCGGAGTGGAAACGGGCCTCAGAGCTAATACAACGTGGACCCGATGATCTCCTTGATGCCTTCAATAAATATATGGTTATATTGGCAAGATCTCAACACGACACCTACACCAATCCTTTCGAAATTGTACAACCCAATATGGCTTTTGGTTTGGATATTGTCACTGCAGAATCGCTATTTGGCTATGAACCCGAACAGCTAAGTGAATATCATAAAACTAAATATTTCAAACCGAATGCCTTCACCACGGAAAGTATTATTTTACCCGATACCAGTGGGTTTCTACAACATTCGGCAAAGCAGAAACCGGTTATTACCTTCCCCAAATACAACAATTACATTCAGGATAAAAGTAAATTTGATAAATACACGAAGGTCTTGGTTCCGCTGGATATGTTGGGTATTACACCCCCTGAGAGTAATGAAGTGACCTATGGCACCAATGATTATAAGGCCATAATCTCATATGCCCAATACAAAGATGTGGGCCAGCTACTTCCCGATATGTTTGATGAAACCATTACCCGACGTTGGGGTGTTGACATAGAAGTTGCCTCGCCAATACTTTCCTTGGCAATTTTGGTACCCTCCACAGAGGCTGAGGAGAAACGCATCGAAATTCCCTATCGTAAAATCTCGTCACAAAAGACCTATTCCGCCACAGGCTCAAGTGAACAGGAATTCATAGAAGTCTTTGATGTACCCAAGAAACATGGCAGTGGAAGTCAAGCCTCATCCAATTCGGCCAGTGAGGAGCATATGATTGAGAATATACGCATAACGGCACATGAAATTCCACCAGCATCGTCCTCCTCCTCGTCATCATCGTCAAGGGAACATGACAGCAACGAGGCCATGGAAATAGAAGATCCCGAAGAACCCCATTTGAATGTGCGCTTTGATGATAACATTGAATTCCATGGTAATTCGGGAGAAGAGGTGATAAATTCTCCCGAAGATATGGGTCATTATGATCAGTCGCAGGAACAGCAAATTCACTCCCACGAACATGATGATCACTCCGATATGAATCCAAGTAAGGGTGAAAATGAAGCCTTCTATCGCAATCGTCGTTTGGTTAAACGTCAAGTGGAGGTTATCTATCCCAGTGAGCAGTCCCAGAAGGCGCAACACCTTTCATTTAGATCCTTGGGATCGCCACATCTCTCACAGCCCATAAAACTGCAAATGTGGTTGGACATTGAGCCAGGACGTTTTGGACCACGTTCCAATCCACAATGTGTGCGCTGGAATTCCTTTACCAATCAATGGACCCGCCTAGGCTGTCAAACCGATATACCCGATTATGATAATATCCACTTACACATGCCGAGCAACTCAAACAATAATGGAGGAGCTTCTGGATCGCCCCAACCACCACCCATATTGGTCAACTGCACCTGCACCCATATCTCCAATTATGCTGTCATTGTTGATGTTATCGATCCCGAGGATATACCCGAACCATCACTGCTCGTCCAAATCACTTCATATTCCGCCTTCCTCGTTTCGCTGCCCGTCCTTTTGAGCGTCCTGATTGCATTGGCCCTGTTGCGTGGCCAACAGACCAACTCAAATACCATTCATCAGAACATTGTCCTGTGTGTCTTCTTTGCCGAATTGCTGTTCTTTGTCGGCATGCAATCACGTCGTAATTTGCTCGAAAACGAATTCCCCTGCAAGCTGATTGCGATTTGTTTGCATTATTTCTGGTTGGCCGCCTTCGCCTGGACGACGGTGGACTGTGTGCATTTGTATCGTATGCTAACGGAGATGCGTGATATTAATCATGGTCCGATGGGTTTCTACTTTGCCATGGGTTATGGTGCGCCCGCTATCGTTGTTGGCTTATCGGTGGGTGTGCGTGCTCACGAATATGGAAATAGTCTGTTGTAAGTATTACCAAGAATTATCATGCGATGATGGTGATGATGATGAAGAAAAGATGCCGCAGAAGAAGAGGAACAAAACGAAATTTTGGTTGATTGATTTGGGGTGTTGTTCGTGGTTTCCTTTTTTTCGACCATTTTGCAAATGTACGCGTATGTTGGATGTGTGATTGTGCGAAAATTGATGAAAGTGTATAGGAATTTTGTAGGCTTAACAGAATACCGTTAGCTGTCATAGAATGTAGTGAAGTGCAAACGGTTTCGTCAGTGTATGGAAGTGTAATAGCATTGGTCGATTTCAAACTAGTTAATTTTTGAAAATGTGTTTTGGGGTTTTATTCGTTACAGGGTAAGAGTTTCATAGCTAAATTTTTAGAAAAATTGAAACAATTTATCGGATTTTAAGTTAAGACTATTATGATGTGGCTCACTAGAGCGTATACATTGTGACAGTAACTATACACCCTAGATTACAATATAGACCGATTATAAATTATTATTTTTTTTTTTTTTTTTTTTTTTGAAACGATATTTTAACGATATGCTTCTAAATATTGCAAAATAGAAAAAAATGCAAATAAGGAAATTACCTTCAAGACATGAAATCGGGACCCATGTCAATCAGGATAAATTGCGATCTATATATACTAAAGGATAGATATGCTAAGCTTATTTATGTGCAAAAGTATATACAATTTGACATTTTGAGGTTATATAGGTTAATGTTTATAATACTAATAGCTGGTTGCGTATACATAATGACAACAGTCATACGATCCAGTTGACTTAGCAATTCTGGAAAATTTTAAAGGTTTTTATGTATAACAGGGTAATAATTTCATGGATCACCAGAGCGTATAAATTGTGACAGTACGTATACGCCCACCATAAATATATATTATTTGAAAGACATAACCTCAAAATGGGAGAAATAATAAAATATCTGTTTCAAAAAATTGCAAAATAAAAGCCTATATATAAAAAAATTGAGATTTAGATTTTCTTTATGTGCATCATTTTGAGATTCACAGGATAATTAAATTTAAATATAGTTAAGAATATCTATTTATATGGATATTTGGAGATTATATAGGTTAAAGTTGGATGCGTATACATAGTGACAAAAGTCATACGACCCAGTTGACCCAGCAATATCAAATAATTCGGTTTTTCACATAGCTTAATGTTTAAATATTAAAATATTACGAATTATCGGATCGTAAATTTAGTTAATTATGGTGTGGTATATGGCGTATACATTGTGACAGTACTTATACGCCCACCGAAAATAAATATTATTAGAAAGACATAACCTCAAGATGGGAGAAATAATAAAATATCTGTTTCAAAAAATTGCAAAATATAAAAACCGGAGGATAAATTGATATTTAGATCTTCTTTATGTTCATCATTTTGAGAGTCATAACAAAACTCCTAATAGTTAAGAATATCTACAATTGGATATTTGGAAATTATATAGGTTAATGGTGGATGCGTATACATAGTGACAAAAGTCATACGACCCAGTTGACCCAGCAATAACAAATAATTCAGTCAGTTCTGTTTCTCATATTTGCGGGTATCAAAGTAACTCTTTTGAAACTCACAACAAGACTCCCTATAGTTGAGAGTATCTACAATTGGACATTTGAAGATTATGTAGGTTATTGTTTTTAAACCTGGGTGCGAATACATAGTGACAACAATCATACGATCCATTTAACTCAGCAATTCTGAAAAAAAAAAATGTTTAGCCATTTTTTGAATTACGGAGTAATAATTTCATAGCTTAATGTTTAAATATTAAAATATTACGAATTATCGGATCGTAAATTTAGTTAATTATGATGTGGTATATGGTATATATACATTGTGACATTACTTATACGCCCACTATAAATAAATATTGTCCCCATGATGGAACAAATTATAAAGAATCTGTTTGAAAAAAATTGCAAAATATCAAACAAGGAAATAACCTTCAAAGCAATGAAATCAGACATTCTCAATGTAAAGATTGATGACCAAATTAAGACGCGATAAATTAAAATTTAGAGCTACTAAAGGATAGATACACTAAATTTTTTTGAGTCACGACAGACCTTATCTCAATGAAAAGACATTTTTATGTTACATAGGTTCTTGTTTTTAATAACAGTAGCTGGATGCGTATACATATTGACAACACTCATACTACCCACCTCGTAATATAGGGACCACTATCTTCAATAATGCAACAATACTAAATAAATGACAGTTCTATTTTCTCATATTTGCGGTATTAAAATTAAATTTCGTTGATTAGCTTTCATATGTAAATCTCTTCGGCGATTTGTTCCAAATCTTATCATAAATTTTTCATTCCATATAATTCATTTTGATTTCATCCTTCTTTTAGCTGTTGGTTATCCGTTTACGAACCTGTTGTGTGGTGGCTTGTTGGTCCGATTGCTGGAATGTCGGTGGTAAATCTGCTCATCCTCTTTGTATCCGTAAAGGCCGCGTTTACGCTAAAAGATCATGTTTTGGGTTTTGGTAATTTACGTACCCTACTATGGCTTTCGGTAGTCTCATTGCCACTAATGGGCGTAATGTGGGTCTTGGCGGTACTCGCAGCCTCGGAGAGTTCTCAACTCTTAAGTATGTTACTCTCAGGAGTTGTAGTACTGCATGCAGTCTTCTGTCTTGTTGGCTATTGTATCATCAACAAGAGAGTGAGGGAAAATCTTCAACGAACATTCCTAAGATGTATGGGACGAAAGGTACCTTTACTCGATTCCTCGATGGTCGTCAGTAATAGTTCGCACAATGTTAATGGTACAAATACCCGGCCCAATAACTTTCTCAATGCCAACGGTTATGATACACAGCGACGAAACGTGGGTATAAGTGTGTCGAGCACCACATCGCGTAGTACTGCTAAGACCAGTTCCAGTCCTTATAGGTAAGTTATAAAAGGGAGTAAGGGTTTCAAAATGTAAAATTAACAAATTTATTTACTTTCCTTCTCTCCTAGTGATGGCCAATTACGCCAGACCTCAACATCCACCTCGAATTACAATTCCAATTCCGACGCTCCCAGTTTCTTGCGCGGCTTTGACTCATCCACCACCAGTGGCCAGAGGGAGGGTAAATCTCGCAGACACCATCGCAAAGATTCCGATTCGGGTTCCGAAACTGATGGTCGTTCTTTGGAGTTAGCCTCTAGCCATTCTAGTGATGATGATGAGTCTAGAACGAATCGTTCTAGCACCACCGGAACAGCCACTTCAACACATCGCAGCACAGCGGTTAGCATTACCCCCTCTTACCTGCCCAATATCACGGAACATGTCCAGGCAACCACACCGCCTGAACTGAATGTTGTACAAAGTCCACAATTGTTCCCCAGCGTCAATAAACCAGTCTATGCTCCTCGATGGTCCAGTCAACTACCCGATGCCTATTTACAATCACCACCAAATATGGGTAGATGGTCACAAAATACTGAATCGGATAATGAGCACATCCAACATCATGGACAAAAAATGACCATATCCCCTAATCCACTGCCTAATCCGGATCTCACCGATACTTCGTATTTACAACAACATCACAACAAAATCAATATGACACCCTCGATATTGGAAAATCTACAAAATGCCCGACCCTCCGAGAGTTATGATGCCTTGGAAAGGGAAAGTCTGTATGGTCGAAGACCTGATAACTATGGACAATATGACACGATGCCTGCGAATATAACAAATTATAAACCACCCAGCCATTATGGCAGTGAACATGATTACAATGGAAGTAATGGCAACAACAGCAATGGCACAGGGAGCAATGGCGGCGGTGGTGGCAGTTCCAATGGCAATGGTGGCACACAAATTGTCAATCACATGAGAACCTTTAATAATGACAATGCCTATCTAAGTGATAGTATCTATGATAAACAAAGAACACTGGGTTCACCATATATGTCCAAAGATCGTATCGCTCCTGACATATATGGATCTCGGGAAAATCATTATAGTCTAAAGAAACATCAGCCGCCTCCCATGTATGGTACCGATTCGGTGCATTCGGTACATTCATTGCTGCGCAACGATTATCATCAGCAACAACAACAGCAGCAGCAACAACAACAACAACGGCTTCATCATCAAGATCATCATTCAGATCGTTTATCGGAAAATTCCGATAAAAATGGTTATCATTTCCCATACACTGCCGAAGAGGATCACCTGACAACAAATGCACGGAAACTAAGTTTACAACATTCACATTCTCCCTCATTGCATGGTGGTTCTCAGCAAGTGCTGAATGGTCATCATCCGCATCATATGGCGCCGGGTATGGTAAATGATATTAATAATCCTGGTCTCATGGGTCGTCATACATTGAATGGTTCACGCCACAGTTCGAGGGGCCCTTCACCGCCAACTTCAAATATAGCACCAATGCAGCCGCTGGCACCCTTAACCAGTATTACCGATACAGAGTGAGTATTTTTCTATTTCAAATTTTGTTATGGTCTTGGGATTTTTTATGAAAAAATTTTTTTGTTTATATTTTTTCTCCATATTATTTTTTTATTTTATTTTTAAGAATTCTTTTCGTTTTTGGTTAATTATTTTTTTTTTAAGTAAAGCGATAAAGGGGATTTCGAATTTTAAATTCAAAATTTTATATTTAAAATCGAAGTAGATAAAAAACAAACCTGTAATATTAAAATGGTGCCTTAGTGCGTATAACTGTTGCCGTTACTAATACGCCCAACAATAAAGTGTAACGTCAGAAGTTATACGCACTAAAATACCACCTTCAAATTAAAGGTTTGTTTGTTATCCCATTGCGAAATAGTTCATTCAATCCGACTTAGACGTATACGTTCTGACACCATTAATACGCCTCATGGTACCCAAATATTGTTTCAAATTTTCAACAGCCATTTAATTATCTGATTATATGGAAAACTTTTTGAATTAATTTAAGAAATAGATTTAGGCGCATTTTTACTATTTATGACAATTTCTCTTATTGGTGGCCAATACTGGGTTTAATAGTATTAAGTGGAAACCATCATGCCGCTAGAGAGCGAATTCGAAAATATACCGCCATGTTCGGTCGATATTTATCAATTTTAAAAGGTTTTTTTTTTATTATGAGTACTGCTGCGGTTTACGTTCTGACCCCACTAATACGCTCAATGGTACTTATAATGGTGGCGATTGAACACGACTTGTTCAGGAACAGATAGACTATGGTTGTGACAACCGTGCACTGTTTCAAGCGGAAATAATTGGTGGTCAATAATGCGTAAGAAGCTGGCGCTATGAAAATGTGAAAAATATCATAATTTTAGAGCTATTTTAAAGGCCTCTTTCATTTTGATTACTTGTGTCGTATACATTCTGGCACGACTAATACGCTTCAATGTTGTATCTGATTGTATAGAAAACTTTTCGAATTCATTTAGGAAATAGATTTAGGCGCATTTTTACTAATTATGACACATAATATCTCTAATTGGTTACCAATACTGTGTTAAGTGGTATTAGGAGGAAATCACCGCTAGAGAGCGAATACGAAAATATACCGCCAAATTTCGTTGATTTTCTTCGGGAAATTAATATGAGTACTTGTGCCGTATGCGTTCTGACACCACTAATATGTCCAATGGTATTTATAATGGTGTCGACATAACCCCACTTGTTAAGGAAAAATAGACTTTATTTGTGACGACCCTTCTCTGTTTTAGAAGCAAATACTTGGTGACCCATCATACAATCACCTGTAAGGAACGGTGAATGTGAAAAATACCATAAATTAAGAGCGATTTTAAAGGTCTCTGTTATTATAAGCTCATGTGGCGTATACGTTCGGACACCATCAATACGGCCCATGCCACCCAATTAATGTTTCGAAATTTATGTAGTCATTTAATTATCTGATTATCTTCAAAACTTTTCGAAATTATCTAAGAAATCCATTTAGGCGCACTTTTACTAATTATGACAATTAATTTCTCTAATTAACAACAAAGCAGAAAAATTTAGCATTTAATCTTTGTCGAACCTTTTGTCGCTTTACTCTCATTTCCCTCCCTTACCATATTTTTTTATTTATCTTAACAAAGATTTTGGAATTTAATTAAAACGCATCTTATTTTCTTTTTATTTTGGGATGCCTTGTTTTGTTGTTGGTGTCTAGTTAAGCAAAAAAAGAAAACATATTTAACTTTCACTTCAATTTATCTTGTTTTGTTGGTTCTTTTTTTCTTCATTTATTTTTTTATACAATTTCATTTACATTGTAGTTACATTTTGTTGTTGTAATAAAAATTACTTACTTATGGCAGAAATCTAATCTAAAAAAAGACCATCAACAACAACACCATGAACCAACCAACCAAATCATCCATTCCAAACGTAAAATGAAAACAAACAATTTCTTTTGGTTGCGTCTGTGTGCGTATTTTCATCTTTATGTGTGTTCATTTTCTTACTTGTATTTTTTTTCTCCTATTTTTCTTCTTCCTCCAAAAACGTATTTTCTTTTTTATAACCCAACCAATCCAACAACAACAAAAATACGCTTGCCTTCCATAAAATGTGTGTGGGTGTGTGTGCGTGCGTGCATCTGTGGACTCTACCCTTTTTTATGGGAAACTATAAAAAAACAAATCCTTTCATATTATCATCATCATCGTCATCAATCCTACAACGACCACAAAAATAACAACAACAACAACAAACGAAATGGAAACGAAATAACAAAAACATACGAACGAAAACGAAAACAAACAACCACTAACGGAATGAATGAACGAACTACGTACCGACCGAACCAACGAACCCAAACAACATCCTGTTTTCCATGCCATTAAACACTTACACTTGTATCCGACAACACACATACAAACACAATACTTTGCTTTCTTCATTGGCTTAACTGGTTCAACAACAAAACCGTATTTCCTGTTGTAAAATGCATTAACTCACACATACATACACACGCACTCGTACATCCGTTTTCCGCCATCACAACCAACCGAAAACCAAAATAAATAAAAAAAACATCAAACGAATACCCTATCCCTACCTCTCTGTTACTCACACCCACCCATCACCCCTCAACTAAACGAAATTACCAAATACCCACGTCCATTGTTTTCTTTTTCGGGAACATAAATGTAATGGATACTCCTCTGACCCCACCCTGACCAACCCCTCTTCAACTTTTTCGCCATTTCGTTGGAACCCTTTCAACGAAAATAACAATAAATTCTGCTCCTCTTGTTTCCATCATTACAATGTTTTGTTTTTTTCCGTATTCCGTTTTCCTTCCCTATTTCTATATGGTTTATGGTTCGGCGTATTATTTATTCCGGACCACTGTTTTTAATTCTCCTGTTGTGTTGCACCCTGTTCCTCGTCCTGACAAAATTATCTATCCACAGTTCATGGACCTGGGATCGTCTAAAACAAATCTAATCATAAAATATTTTCTCTATTCTCTTCACATTCTCTAATGCGATTATTATGCTACAATGTGTGTGTGTGTACACATTTAATTGCTATGCAAACAACAATAAAAACAACAACAATGGTAAATGGCAAAATCAACACAACACAACTAAATGCTTTATTTATTTTTGCCGGGCTCTCAAATAAACAAATTACTCAACTATTTGACTCTCACACCTCTACAAACGAACCAAAAACTGTTATACGCTCTGTAATCGAAACAAACACACACACCAACAACGACAACAACCTACACACTTTAACAACTAAATACTTGTTTCGAACAACAACAACAACAATAATAACATCATGGCAAATTGACTCTTAACTACTGGCCTTTGACATAACCAAACACCCATACACACACATTTAACAACACCACATGGTAATGGTTTTGCTGCTCTATGGCTTAACTGCTTGCTCTTTGGTCTATGGTGAATAATGGATAACAACCAAACAACAAACAAATGTCGTCATCAACAACAACAATGACTCTGGCTAAACAAATATTGCTGCAACAATTGTCTCTAATTTACTAATACGACAACAACAACTGCTACTACTACAAATGCTCTGCAACTCTTTGCTATACTTTCGGAATTGGGCTTTTACTACAACTACAAAAACAACAACACCTCTATAACAACCACAACAATCATATAAATAAACTAAATTTATTTGTTTCACTACTACCACAACAACTTCTCTCTCTACTACACAAACATACATACTATGCCTATCATCTACATGTGTGTGTGTGTGCTACCATACGACATTGCACAAATTCAATGTCCTACTACAAATCACACACACACACACAATTTCGAATGCATACACACTCACCATCACAATAACTATAATCATCATCATGTGTGTGTGTGTACGTATGCTTGTGTGTGAATACAATTTTGTATCTGCAGATCAGAGGTAAACCACAAATTCATTTAACTTTTTAATCTAATAAACTAATCTCATTTATTTGTTCCCATTTGTTTTGTACACTGTACTAACCTCTAACCCCTTCCAGACACCCCCTAGTTCCACAAAACCACTCTAACCACATTGCAAAGGATTTTTTGTATATTTTTCTTTTTCGTATCTAGTATAAACGTATTGGAAAAATATATTAAGGGTATTCACTGTGAGATCTAAAAAAATCTTTGAAAGTAGCCCAATCTGGGCTAATATTTACTATAGTAATAAGACGGAATTGTCCGAAAAACTTTAAATAGGCAGGTATTTGTCATTCTACACCGATAAAATGACTGTTACAAGAGACAAATAGTATTTTAAGGAAGTAGATGATTTTTTTAAGACAAAAACAAGTGAAAAAGCGTTAAGTTCGGCCGGGCCGAACTTTGGATACCCTCCACCATAGATATACTGACACGTATTTGAAGTGAAAATATAGGGAATATAAACCATAATACAAATTTCAAAATGGAAAAATTACCCTCAGCCTCAGTAATTGAGATGAGAGTGTATACACTTTGACACGGTGAAAATGTGCCTCATCGAAATATATTTGTTTTAGACACCATGTTTCTTTGGACAAAATCCGTTTCAGAAGATTTCATCCAAACTTTGGCCATCTTACTATTTCTTCCAAATTTAGTTCCATTTCGAAGATGGGAAATACCGGTCCACTCCTTCTGGTACCTCCCACACAGGGGCTGGGTCTAAATGCGGGTTATAGTTCATTATCGAACCTTAGGTTCTAGTTTTTTATCTCGAGGTCCTCCGCAGGTGAAAAGATTACAACAAAGTCTTAGAACCGAACCCAAAACACAGAACAAATCAGATAACGATTTTAATATAACAAATGGCCCAAAAAGGGGGCCAATATTAATAATTGTTGGTGGAGAGATTTGTTACTATATACGACTACAAAATACCAAATTGCAGCGAATTCGGTTGAAAAATGCGCTCAAGAACCCCAAAATACCGAAAATGGGGGGTACTTCTATATGAGGGCT